CTGTGGGACTCAACTCCTGCTCAGCATTTGCTGTAGTTTTTGGGGATGGGTCTCAGATGCTGGTCTGTGCTTCTGTTGCTTGGGGATGGATTCTGCTCTCCAGCCTCTGTTGCTGGGGGTATATGTCGACTCTGATCGGGCTGCTACTGTGGGGGCTCCCAGCCGTCTGTGGCTTCTGCAACTGGCACCTCCTTGACAGCTCCATTACTGTGCACTGGTCTCTGTTGACACAGAGTGTCCACTGGTCCGATGGTGCCAGGTGCACTGGTGGCTCAGGTCGCTGGGCCCTCGCCACTCTCACTGCCTCCTCCCAGGGAAGACCCAGGATCTTTCAAAATGGTGGGACCTCCCCGCGGCACAGGGAGAAACGCCCTGGAGAGCCATTTACCATGATAGCCGGCTGCTCCCATCCACAGCACAGGAAACTTTCGCTTCACTTCTCTGCACTGCTAGAGTTTGGTCATCTACCTTCACGTCCACTCACACTCTCTCACACACCAGCTCACTCTCTCACACACTCACCCTCCCTCCAGTCTTGCCAGCCACCATCTTCTCACACCAGTATGGACATTTTAATGATGTTAATTCTTTCAATCCATGAACACCGTATATGCTTCCACGTATTTATATCTTCCTCAATTTCTTTCTTCAAAGTCCTATAGTTTTCCAAGTACAAATCCCTTACCTCCTTGGCTAAATTTACTCCTAGGTACCTTATTTTTGTTGTTGTTGTAATAGTAAATGGGATTGTTTTCTTAGTATCTATTTTTGATAGTTCATTATTGGTGTATAAAAATGGAAAATGAAACATTTTAAAAAGGATCTTTTATTGGTGCCTTCACAATTAACTGATGAGTAAAAAGGGGATCACTAGAGACTAAAATAGCATTCTTTCTGTGGAGTCATCTTTGAATTATTTTAAAATGTGTCATCCAGCTGTAGCTCCACTCATTACCATCTGAACTTTTTATCATGAGTAATGTAATTATACCAAAAGTCATTATACCTCCACAGGCACATGCTAATTATGCACAAAAAGCACAGATGATAATACTTTATATCTTCTTTTTAAGATTGAGCTATTTTTAAATGTTCAGAATATGAAGTTTCTGTATTTTAATATAATGGGATATAAAAACATCAATGGACATTTAATAATAGTCTGTGTCTAAGAAACATTTTTGAAGTTTTATTTGTATTTCTGACTTCTTATTTGGGTGTTAAAAAATAAATAAAAGGCCCTGGCCAGTTTGGCTCAGCGGTTGGAGCGTCGGCCTGCGGTACAGAGAGACCCGGGTTCGGTTCCCGCTAAGGGCACGTACCTTGGTTGCAGTTTGTCCCCGGCCCTGGTTGGTCGTGCGGTGGCAACCACTCGATGTGTCCCTTCACGTCGATGTTTCTCTCTCTCTCTCTTCCTCTCTCTCCCTCCCGCTCTGTCTGAACAAAAAATGCAAAAATGTCCTCGGGTGAGGATAAAATAAATAAATAAATAAATAAATAAATAAATAAATAATTAATAAAAGTTCTATGCATTACAGTCTAATAAATTTTCTTCCTGGTTTCTCTTCATTTCTTAGAAAAATGGTATAATAATTCATTTCACAAACACTGAACAATCTAATTTAAAGACTGCCATATATGCGTGATCTCGTTCATTCACAAGAAATCTTATTTTAGTAAAATATGATAAACCCCAATTACTGAGGGGGTGTACTATCCCTAAGTGACAGAAAATAAGCTCATAACCTTGACTTACCACACCTGAAAGTACACACTGAACAGAACAGAGGAATAATGCAGTGAGCATGTGCCTCAGGCAGAGCTAGGAAACTGACTCCAGGTGCTCCACTACCATCCCAGCCTCCTGGCCATCCTCACCATGGGAAGCTCACCAGGCACAGAAGGGAGGTCTGCTTCAACAGTTATAGGCATGTATTTGTTTATTTATTTATTTACCTCACCCGAGGACATTTTTCCATTTTTTTGTTCGGATAGAGTGGGAGGGAGAGGGAAGGAGGGAGGGAGAGGGAGGGAGGGAGGGAGGGAGAGGGAGGGAGGGAGGGAGGGAGGGAGAGAAAGAGAAACATGGATATGAAAGGGACACATCGAGTGGCTGCCACCCGCACGACCAACCAGGGCCGGGGACAAACTGCAACCGAGGTACGTGCCCTTAGTGGGAACCGAATCCCAGTCTCTCTGGACCACAGGCCGACACTCTAACCGCTGAGCCAAACTGGCCAGGGCAGTTACAGGCCTTTAAAGACTCATCCTTTTCAAGGATGACTCTCAGCTATCTAACTTCAAAAGACTATACTCTGCAAGTAGTGAGTTTAAATCCTCACCAGCAAGAAGTAACAGAAAACAGGCTGCCAATTAGATGCCAAAAACACTAACAAAGAAGGTTCTTATTACTAAATAAGAAAAAAAATTAAGTAGATTGTACAATTGCCCTGGCTGGTGTGCCTCAGTTGGTTGGAGTGTTGTCCCATGCACCAAAGGGTTGCCGGTTCGATCCCCAGTCGGGGTACATGGGGTAGCAAATGACTAATGTTGCTCTCATATCAATGTTTCTCTTCTCTCTCTCTCTCTTTCTCCCTCCCTCCCTTCCTCTCTCTCTAAAATCAATAAAAACTTATCTTCAGGTAAGGTTTTTTTAAAAATCTAGACCAGAAAGATGAAAGTTTTAAAATGGTAATAAAATTTGAGTTTAAAAGAAGTTCATGTTAGGGAAAAAGAAAAAAGAAAAAAGCTTTCAGAATAGAGGGAATATATGCATTCTGTCAAATGGCACATATAGCCAAAAGTGATCCTTCCCCTTCTCTCATTGTCCTTCTCATCCAGTCATCACCAATACCGGTGAGTTCTATCTCCAAAATACAGCCACACCTTGTTGTACTGTGCTCCACTTTACTGTGCTTCTAGATGTTGCACTTTCATCTCCATGGAGACAAAATTTCCACCAGCAAAAAAATTATGATTCATTGAAGGCTCAGATGATGGCTAGTAATTTTTTAGCAATAAAGTATTTTTTAATTAAGTTACATACATTTTTTAGCCATACTGCTATTGTACACTTCATAGACCACAGTATGGTATAAACATAACTTTATATACACTAGGAAACCAAATAATTCGTGTGACCCACTTTATTGCAGTGTTCTGGAACAAAAACCACAATATTTCTGACATATGCCTGTATGTGTGAGTTGATTCAATTTCACCTACTGCTTTTCACCTCTACTGCCTCCATCCCATCCCATCCCATCCCATCCCATCCCATCCATGTCTTCCCTAGAGTCTTCTACTTGGTCCCACCTGCTCCTCTTCTCCAATTCATTCTTTTTTTTTTTTTTTTGGTACGTGCCCCTGGTGGGAACCGAACCTGGGATTCTCTGGTCCGCAGGCCAACGCTCCAATCACTGAGCCAAACTGGCCAGGGCTCCAATTCATTCTTAATGAGAACAAACAACTCCATTAACACAACTGACAAAATAACTTTCCCAAATGTATATCTGACCCAGTACATCCCTGCTTCAATTCTCCCCATCCCCACCAACAGCTTCCTTGCAAAGAAACCCTAACTCCTAGTAAAATGAAAAATTCCAGCTTCTTACCAGAGTCTCTCAGGCCTTGCAAAACACAGCTCCATTGACCCTCCCACCTCCCAGGAAGACAAAAGTTTTTAAATGGTACTAAAATTTTAGTTTAAAATAGGTTCATGTTTTTTAAAAAAAGAAAGGTTTCAGAATAGAGTCCAGTCCAGGCTTCTCATCTGTTTCCCCAACAAGCCAAACCACCTCCTGTTTCCAGACCTTTCGGCTGATGCCTCCACAACTATCAGATCAGTAATTACCCTGGCATTCATCTGTTCACTTACTTACTGCTTCCTCCAGGGAATTAGTATGTAAATTTCATCTTCCTCAATTGTCGCACACCTGGCAAGCACTCAATAGATACTAAATAAAGGATTGAACAATTCACTGATATTTTTAAAAGTATAGTTTTGAGCTAAATGCTGTAACAAAATGCTTTTCCAGCCCTGGCCAGTTTGGCTCAGCGGTTGGAGCGTCGGCCTGCGGTCCAGAGAGACCCGGGTTCGGTTCCCGCTAAGGGCACGTACTTCGGTTGCAGTTTGTCCCCGGCCCTGGCTGGTCATGCGGATGGCAGCCACTCGATGTGTTTCACATCGATGTTTCTCTCTCTCTCTCTCTCTCTCTCTTTCTCTCTCTCTTCCTCTCCTTCCCTCCCACTCTATCTGAACAAAAAGTGGAAAATTGTCCTCGGGTGAGGATAAAAAAAAAAAAAAAATGCTTTTCCAGATAAAGTATTTTAATTTTTAAAAGACAGCCCCTCCCCCCAAAAAAATTTTAGGTATTTTTATGTTATTATTAATTATTAATATCCCATTTTAGAAATATAGCTTTTACATACACACATTTACTATGCTCTTGGGAATATATTAAATACTTAATGTCCAAAGGAAGTAACTGCTAGTAAACAGCAGAACTATGATTATGGGACTTGAATTCAGAGAGTCTGGCTCTAAAGTCAATCCCCTTAAATAAAGAACTAAACTCTAAACTGAAGAAACAAATTGAGTAATTTCTTATATATCTTACATGGCTCTAGATGCAAATCAGTTTAGATATTTGGAGACACTAAATTGAAGAACTTTTTTTTCATTTTTTAAATAAAGATATAATTGAATTATAACATTAGTTTCAGGTATACAACATAATGATTGAATATTTGTATTTACTATGAAATGATCACAATAAGTCTAGCTAACATCTGTCACCATAGTTACAAAATTTTTCTTCTTGTGATGAAAATTTTAAGATCCACTCACTGAACAGCTTTCAAGTATGCAATACAAAATTATTAACTATAGTCACCATGCTATATATCTCCATCATTTATTTATTTTATAACTGGCATAAACTGAAGAACTTTTTGATAAAAAAGAAACCTTATTTTATTATAACAAAATTACAAACCACCTTTTGCTTCGCAATAGAAATGCATCTGATTGTTTTAAATGCAAACAGTTTTAGGGATCATGCAGTGAAGTGGTCTGGTTCTTCTTCACAGCTTGTCTGGGGAGGGAAAGTCTGGGGGAGGAGATGGTAGTGGTCAGGAAACGGTGGTGCCTTGGTTGTAATGGTAACAGTGGGAGAGCTGTAGGCATCTAGTGACCAGTAGCCAAGGATGTTGGATATACTGCAATGCAGTGGGACAGCAGCTCACAAAGAAAAATGGTCTTTCCCACAAGAAACACTGACTTAACTGGAATACTCCAGAATGGGCATCTCTTGTTGAGCATTCCTCCTCCCTTCTTTTGGTTTAGCACTTTACTTTCATCTAGGAAAGTATACCTCCTCTATTCCCCAAGTCTTGGTGAGTCTGTTAATCAAGGCACTCTGTGCCATCAGTCTAAGGTGGGATGATGATTCTAGTTAGGCAAACCTGACTCTGCTGGGAATCTGAATCTTGAGTAGACTGACAGAAGGGTGGAACTAAGTCATTCAGAGACTCTTCGTCTAAATCCCTGGAGCTACCCTGTTATGTGCTTAACAAGGTATGGATTTTCAACTCTCTCTTTAATTCTATGAGCTATCCAAGGGCCTTCCAATAAATTCGTCTTATACCCCTTTAATTCCCCTTAAATTAATCACTGCTGATTTCTCTCATTTTCAATCAAAGAACAAAAGCAACTGCTAGAGTCTGAAACTGATACAGAACCTGATACAAACTGATACCAGATAATGGGCTACAGTAAACAGACCTTAGAAGAAAGGAAGGGAATTTGGAGCTGGTTACTGGCCCAAGTCAAGGAAAATGGAAGTAGAACTCCTGTTCATACTAGGGAATTGGAAATCAGAAGTCCATGAAACAAGATGGTAATACAGATTGATGAGATATTACCTGAAATCAGGGTCCCTGACTCATTAAACTCCTCTAGAAGGAATGAGCAGGTGAAAGCCACTGGACTATAAAAAGAACAATGCCATAAATCTGGTGATTTATAGAGAACTCCACCTGCCAAACTGAGGGGCCAAAGGTCCACTCAATAATATTAGACTATCATAAACATAATCAAAAGATGACTTCAATTCCAACTGCAATTTTAGATGTGGGGCCTAACTGGAGCAAATCAATACCACCCTTGGCACCCAGAATGCAGTGATAAAGCTGGTAAGTGCATTTATCCTTTGTGATAAACTGAAGATATGAGAAAGTAGTTTACTTTCACCTGCCTCGGTGATGTCAACTCGGACACAGCACATTACAATGGTCTACCACAATGCAGCTATCAGGCTAACAGAACCTGGAGAGTAGGAAGACACAGGTGCCTTGCTTACATTTCAGAGGGTTGGATACAAATCCCACGAACATACAGGGCCTGCCACTTCAGGAAGTTTCTTGTGATCCAACAGTCTTTGCCAAGTCAGGATATGCCCTTTAAAATAACGTTACCCAAGCCCTGGCCAGTTTGGCTCGGCGTTAGAACGCCGGCCTGCATTCCGGAGAGACCTGGGTTCAGTTCTCGCTAAGGGCATGTACCCCGGTTGCAGTTTGTCTCCGGCCCTGATTGGGTCGTGCAGGTGGCAGCCACTCTATGTGTCCCTTTCAGGTCAATGTTTCTCTCTCTCTCTCTCTTCCTCTCTCTCCCTCCTGTTCTATCTGAATAAAAAATGGAAAAATGTCCTCAGGTGAGGATTAAAAAAAAATTTTTTTAAATAAGGATACCCAAGAAACGAGTACCAGTGGTGTGTCCAGTGTGGAGACCTATGTAGCTGAGTAAATGCAGAAAAAGAACTTCAGTTTTATGATGTACTTTTTTGTACCTCTTCAATTTAATGTCATGTATACTACTTACTCAAAATAATAAACACATAAAAATAAAGTAAATGATAAATGTGCACTTTACACCTCCTAAGAGGCAAAGTGCTTGGGTGATATTTCGGGGATTCTGAAGGCAACATATAGATCTTTTTTTTTTTTTAATCCTCACCTGAGGATATTTTTTTTTCTCTATTTATCCTCAGACAGAGTGGGAAGGAGAGAGTGCAAAAAAGGGAGAGAGAGGGAAGCATCAACATGAGAGGGACACATCGACTGGATGCCCCCTGCACAACCCCAACCAGGGCCAGGGATGAACTGCAACCGAGGTACGTGCCCTTGGCTGGAATTGAACCCGGGACTCATTGGCCCACGGGCTGATGCTCTACCTCTGAGACAAACCAGCCAGGGCGGTTTTAGATCTTTTATCTGCTTCTATCCATTTGCCTCGCAATAAGAAAATATGGGTAGGGCTCAGAGTAAGAGTTACTGCACAGCTTGTCCATGCTGGAGCACTCTTCTATTTTGACCCAGCTATTTTGACCCAGCAGATCCAACACTGTTGAAAGCATGTGTGAAAGGCCTGGATTCTGGGAAGAGCCAGTGCCAAGCCTCACTCTCTGGACTGATCTCCCAAGCCACAAAGCCGGGTGTGCCCAGCAGCAATCTATCATCATGTACAAATTAGGCCTGTTGGTCAAAATGCACGAGTGAGGTTTTTGGATGCTATCTGTATGTCTTGCTTGCTATGTCATATAATCTTTTCAAATTCCCTTCTCTTTCATTTTTCTCCTACTGCATAGAGAGTATATTATTAGTAGACAAATTTTCCTAAAGTCTGTAATTCACAGAATAAAACAGATATGGGAAGAGGAACTAACATTGTCCCGAACTCTTGGACTTGAAGCTAGGTGTATTAACTAAGCATTACTTCGGATTCTCTCTCTTTCTTAAGGAAAAGAGAGCTAAATTATGTCAGTTGGAAATATTTTTAAAATTCTGTGTGTGGAAAGCAGTAGATTTGAATGTTCTGAGTAATTAACAAGTGAAAGGCAGTAGATATCAGTAGTTTTTGCCCACTTAGTACCCTTTTCCTGTTCTTTTAACATATATGCATCCATTCTTGATTTCAAGAACTGCCCTTCTTCCTTTCCACACATAGTTTTAGCGAGACTATGGTGTGCCTCCTTAGACATGGGGGAGTTACATACACATTTCTAACAGGTAAAACAGCTAAGAAATGCACTACACAAATAAAATGAAGTTTATGCCTCCTTGACACCACTTATAAGCTGTAGACTTTCACCCAATAAGGAGAGTAGTTTATAACATTCTCACTTAAAACAGGCTATGTGGTACAAGTGCTATTTTGTTTATGACTTTTTTTAAACCTGTTTAATGATCATTTTTAAATATACAAAAAGGTAGAGAAAACAGCCAAATGAACCCCTGTGTATCCACTAACCAGTTCAAATAATTATTAAAATTTTCCATATTTAAAGCAAATCAAAGACATATAACTTTACCCAAAATACTTAGATTTGTATCTCTTCTTATAAGGATTTTTAAAAAGAAGAAACTTAACTTCAGTACAGTTCTTTCTCACCCAATAAAGCCAATAATATTATCTAACAGCCCATCTATGTTCAAATTTCTTAAAAATTTCCCTTTATATATGGGTTGTTTATATTTAGATCCAAATAAGATCCACACATTCAATGCATATGGTCAATATTCACATTTCTCTTTTAATCTCTAACAGTTATCCCTCTTTATCTTTTTAACCTTTCATATCATTTATTCCCTGGAAAAACCAACACATTTGACCTATAAAATGTCGCATATTTAGGCATTTGACTGACTAAATTCCTTTGGTGTTAACATGTTTTGCCATATCCTACACTGCGTACAAACTGATAGCTAGATCAGTAGGTTCCATTAGATTCAGGGTGAATTCTTTTGCTGGAATACTTAATTTGAGGTGTTGTATACTTTGAATAAAATCTGAAGGCACATAATGTTTGGTTGTTTCATGTATCATTAACATTGAAACTGACCAGTGGTTACAGGTATTGTCAACCTAATCCTCTCATGTATCATAATGTTAAAACTGCCAAGTGGTTTCAAGTACTGGTAACCTAGCCCTGGCCGGTTTGGCTCTGCGGTTAGGGGGTCGGCCTGCAGACCAAAGGGCCATGGGTTCTATTTCAAGTCAAGGGCACATACCTGGGTTGTAGATTCGATCTCTGGCCCCAGTCAGGGAACAGTCAGGAGGCAATCAATCAATGTGTCACTCTCATATCTCACATTGATGTTTCTCTCTCCCTCCCTCCCTCCCACTCTAATAATTAATGAAAAAATATCCTCAAATGAGGATTAACCAAAAAAAGAGTACTGTCAACCTAATTCACCCATCATAAAGTTCACCATTAACCTTTTCCCTAATGGTTTTAGGATCTATTGGTGATCATTTTAGATCCATAAGGGGTTGAAAAAGTAGTGATTTTCTATCTTTATCCATTCTTCTACTTTTGTGTTTCTTGATATATAAAAGTTTTACATTTTTAGGTAGTCAGACTAACAATCTTTCCCTTTGGAACTCCAATGAATGTCTCTCCAACCCCAAGAAACTGTCCCATGAATGTGTTCAGCGCAGGACTCTTCCCAGGTTCTAGGTCTCTCCCAGCTTCTCAAGAAATAGCAAATGCCTTGTGGATGAAAAACTGCTGTAGAATGTCTGCTCAGTAAGTACTTAAGTACTCTTACCTTAGCTCCAGGATCTTAACTCTTTGAGTCCCAAGTACCTTTGCAATTTTCCAATATCTTCGAAAGATGTTTTACCTGGCTCTTCTAGACACTTTAAAATAGCTGGAAGTAAAAGTCTATAGTAAGTTCTCTTGATTAACCAAAATATGTAAACAAAAAAATTGTACAGGATATATTTAATATAAACATAGTTAAAATTGCATCCAATATCAATTCTACTTAAGGTAATAGAGACCAACCTTCCTACTGCAAGTTATTATATAAGGCTATAGGAAATAGAAAAACATAATACAAAACCCACCAAAGAATCAGAAAAATAATGTGGAATCATCAAAGAAAGATCTTAGTACATAGAATGCACAAGCCTAGGCAGGCATTTCTGATAATAAAGTAGTTAAAAGGCAAAGCAGCTCTTTTGAGACCCTTGCTAAAGAGTAAAAATAGGGTGCCAGGCCTGTGAAAGTGAGTTTTTGGTAAACCACACCACACTTAGGATTGGGGCCCATAAGGTTACACCCTGAAAATACTGGTGACTCAGAAGTAATCCAGCCCTGATAGACACTACAGCATAAGTGTGAAACTGAAAATGAATTAAGGTGGTCCCAGCTGCTAGTGCTGCCAGGTACCTGGAAGATGCAAAGAATAACCCTCTCTGGAGGAAGATATCATCCTAGTTTTCTAATTATTTCCAAAAATAATTCTTCAACTACAATAAAAAATTACATAATTAAAGAGAATAAAGCACAAAAGAAAAGAACACATGAACAAGAGCCTCCCCAATGGACAAGAACCCCCCAAAAAAGCCATACTCCAGATGGTTTTAAAAAAAAAGAGACAAAATTATAAAGCGATTAAGAGTAAAGATAAAAACCAAATTTTCATCAAGAAACTGAAAACTATTTTTAAAAAAAGACTGTGAAAGAAGAAGACTACAGTAGAAATTCTAGAACTCAGAAACAAAATAACTGAAATTAAGAATTCAATAGATGCGTTTCACAGCTGATTAAACCCAACAGAAAATAGAATTAGTGAATTTGGAAGATACATCAGAAGAAATGATCCAACAATTACAAAAATACAGACGAATAAATAGATATACAGAAATACAGTGCAAAGTCCAGAAAAATATCTCAAATGCCATGGAAGAAAAAAAATAGGCCAACCTAGAATACTGCACCCAGTTAAAATACTAAGAATAAAGGTAAAATAAAGCCTTTCTGACAGTTAAAGCATACAGAATTTGTCACCAGTAAACCTGCTTAAAAGCAGCTGTAAGGGGTGTTCCAGCCAACATGGCGGAATAATCTACCAAAAATGCAGTACTTATCTCCTCCAACCACCACATCAAAATTAAAACTAAACTACAAAACAACCATCATTCAGAACTGCCTAAAATCTGGCTGAATGGAAGTACTATAAGTAAGGAATTAAAGAAGAAGCCACATCAAGACTGGTAGGAGGAGCAGAGGTGTGGAACTGGCTGGTCTCACACCCATGTATAGTGGTTTTCAATTGGGAGGAGTATCTTGGATATGGAGGTCCCCTGTGAGGAGCAAGGGGTCCCAGCAGCATACCAGACCCTTAAGCTCAGGGTTCCAGTGCTGGGAAGAGAAGTCCCTATATCTTCAGGCTATAAAACCCAGCAGGAATTGTGGCAGAATGATACAGAGGCTGCTGGAGTCCCAAGCAGTTTCTCTAAAGGGCCCACATATGGACTTACTTGGATTACCTCACTCTGAGCTCCAGCACTGGGACAGCAGCTTGAAAGGAGCCAGGGAAATGCAGGGAGGACCTAATTTGTCTGGCATCAGGGTAAGGGCTGGAGGAGCAGTTTTCTCCCAGATAAAAGTACTGACAGAGACCACTGTTCCTTTGCTGAGCCCTACCAGCCACAGAGCCAAAAGGCAGGCACCATATCTGAGCTGCATCAACCTGGCTCACACAGTTCACCCCGTGCTGGTGTCCTTGAGACCCCGCACCACCCATCTTGTGGGCTCATCCAAGCCTTTTCCAGTGGCTTTTCCAGTGGCTTTTCCATACAACTAACCTCTATTGGCCCTTCCTTCAGATATTCCTAAAATCTCTCAAACCAGCAGCAGCTGGCCTCAGCATGCCCCATACCTCTTGCTAAGTGGCCCCAGGCCCGGCACCAGTGGTAGCCTGCCTCGGTTCACAGCTTGGCCTCTCCTGGGAACTTCCAAGCCCAACACAAGTAGCAGCCATCTGCAGATCACTCTGTAGCTCATGCTGGGTGGCACAAGGCAGGGCAGAGGCAGTGGCTGACTTTGGACCTCCCGGGAGGCCCCAGAGCCAGTGCACACAGTGTACAGCTTCAAACCAAGCCAGATTATAACCCTACCACTTCCACGAACGACACACTCAAGGGGTGAACTCAGTTAGCACCAAAGCCCCACTGAAGCAAGCCCTGCTACATATTGCTCCATATGGTCAGCTCTTCTGCTATAGTTGCAGCTGGTCCTCACAGCCAACTGGCCTGGAGGTCAGTCCCTCCCAGTGATGCCAACAGCAATCAAGGCTCAAGTACAACAGGACAGTGCACAAAGTCCACACAGGGGCACAACTGCAGTGCCCAGCTCAGGTGACTGGAGAGGCTGAGCCACTGGGCCCTATAGGACACCTACTACATAAGACCACTCTACCAAGTCCAGGAGACACAGCAGCTCTACCTAATACATAGAAACAAACAGAGGGAAGCAGCCAAAATGCAGAAACAAAGAAACATGTCACAAATAAAAGAACAGGAGAAATCTCCAGAAAAAGAACTAAATGAAATGAAAGCAAGCAAAATACCAAATAGAGTTCAAAACAATGATTATAAGGATGCTTAAGGAACTTAGTGAGAACTTCAAGAAACTTAGTGAGAATATCACCAACATAAAAAAGAACCAGTCAGAAGTGAAGCATACACTAACTGAAATGAAGAATAATTTACAGGAAATCAACAATAGAGGAAAGGATGCAGAGAATCAAATCAGCAATTTGGAATATGAGGAAGCAGAAAACGCCCAATCAGAACAGCAAACAGAAAAAACAATTAAAAAATATGATGATAGCCCTGGCTGGTTTGGCTCAGCGGTTAGAGCATGGGACTGCGGTCCAGAGAGACCCGAGTTCGATTCCTGTTAAGGGTGCGTACCTCAGTTGCAGTTTGTCCCTAGCCCTGGTTGGTCGTGTGGGTGGCAGCCACTCGATGTGTCCCTTTCATGTCAATGTTTCTCTCTCTTCCTCTCTCACCCTCCCACTCTATCTGAACAAAAAATGGAAAAAAAATGTCCTCAAGTGAGGATAAAAAAAAAAATGAAGATAATGTAAGAAGCTTCTGGGACAACTTCAAGATACCAACATTTGCATCACAGGGTTGCCAGAAGAAGAAAGGGAGCAAGAAATTGAAAAACTATTTGAAAAAATAATGACCTGGTGAAAGAAATAGACATACAAGTCCAGGAAGCCCAGAGAGTCCCAAATAAGATGAATCCAAAGTCATGTCATAATCAAAATGCCAAAGGTTAAAGACAAAGGGAGAATCATAAAAGCAGCAAGAAAACAGTTAGTTACCTACAATGGTATGCCCATAAGACTGTCACCTGATTTCTCAACAGAAACTTTGCAAGCCACAAGGGAGTAGCAAGAAATATTCACAGTGATGAAAACCAAGGACCTACAACCAAGATTACTCTACCCAGCAAAACTATCATTTAGAATGTCAGATAAAGAGCTTCCCAGACAAGAAAAAGCTAAAGGAGTTCATCACCACCAAATTGGTATTTCATGAAATGTTAAATGGACTCCTTTAAGAAGAAGAAAAACGACTAAAAATATAAACAATAAAATGTCAATAAATATATATCTATCAATAATTAAATCCAAAAATAAAAATAAACTAACAAGCAGAACAAAAACAAACTCATAGTGCCCTGGCCAGTTTGGCTCAGCAGTTAGAGCATCGGTCCATGGACAGAAAGTCCCAAGTTTGGTCCTGCTAAGGGTATGTACCTTGGTTGCAGTTTGCCGCTGGCCCCAGTTGGGGTCATGTGGATGGCAGCCAGTTGATGTGTCTCTCTCACATAGATGTTTCTCTATCTCTCTCTTCCTCCCTCTTTCCCTTCCACTCTATAAACATGCAAAAATGTCCTCAGGTGAGGATAAAAAAAAAAACAAAACAGACTCATAGTTACACAGAACATTTGTACAACTGCCAGATGTGAGGGAGGGTTAGGGGCCTGGATGAAAAAGGGGAAGGGATGTAGAAATACAAATAAGTAGTTATAGTGTAAGCATGGGGGTGTAAAGTACAGCAAAGGAATATAGTCAGTAATATTCTAATAACTGTGTATGGTGTCAGATGGCTATGAGATTTTTGGGGATGATCACCTAATAAGTTTTATAATGTCTAATTACTGAGGTGTACACCTGAAACTAATATAATTAGTTGACAGTATATCAACTGTAATTGAGAAAGAAAAAATGATTTTAAAAAAAGAGGCTCTTAGGCAAATGAAAAATTATCCTAGAAGAAGTCTACAGGTGTAAGAAGAAATAAAAACAACAAAAATGGTAGATACATGGGAAAATTTAAATTAACATTATGATAGAAAATTAAATTATTATTGAGATTTTAAATAATACAGAAATTTAAATATATAAAAACTATAGTCTATGTCAAGAGAATGAGAGTTAAGGGTTCTAAGGTTGCTGCATTTTCCAGGAAAAGGAGGATTAAAAGGTTAACATCAGACTTTACTAATAAAAGAATGCATATTACAATTTCTAATTGAATAAAAGAGTATTAAAAGGCAGTATACAATTTCCAAGATATCAGAGGAAAAAAATTTATAATAAAATAAAAATACTGAATCAGTCGCCAAAAGAGCAAGATTGGAGAGGAAAAAGAAATAAAGAATATACAAGATAAACATAATGCACACAGTAGGATAGTAAGATGCTAGATTTAAACTCAAACATATTAGCAACTATAAAATATGCAAATAGATTAAATTCTCCATGTAAAAAACAGACATTATCAGTTTTGAATTTCAAAATAACTACATGCTGTTACAAAAGACAAATCTAGACCATAAGGA